TGTGGTTGCTGGGTTTGTCTGCTTTTCTGGGTTAGAAATTCAATAACTTTTATTTAGGATATATTGCTTTTCTGAGTTCGTCTCATTTTCTTTTATCTTTATGTGATGTTGAAAAGGGTGCAGTCATAAAAGGTTATAGAATTTCTGGGTTGGAAGCAGATGAACTTTCTGCAGGTTCAAGACACTTCCTTCTATACTGATAAAATGATCTGTGCAACTTCAATTATGCCTCCTCCTATCAAATTAAATGATCAATGTGAGTCTGGTTGCTTGTCCTCCATCCCAAATGCTCAATGGCCTTTTGAAGGCCAATCATGTGCTCATGCACCAGAACTGTAATATTTCAAGCCATAGCGAGTTGGAGAAAATATTAATGGTACAAAAAAAAAAAAAAATTATTGACAGAAAAATTAATTTCACTTAATATTCACTGAGGAAAATGACTAACATCTTCATCCATTTTGCCAAGCTGTACAGACCCTATTTAAATTTGGTTAACAAATGTATACGATATGGCATAGTCATTTTAAACCGTGGAAGAAGGCAAGGATAATGGTTGACTTCTTCAGCCATTTTGCCAAGCTGCCGATTCTGTATTTAAAATTGGTTAATAACCTTACCTGATACTAGCATGGTCTAATTAGTAATTATTATAAACCAGCACAGGGGCTCCGTTTAAACTCTCCTCAAGGCTATGAGAGAATTGATATGTATGGAGGAGGATATTGTGATTTGTTAACGGTAGTTGGTATCTTCTCATGATTGATAATATTTCTTAAAATGTTACACATGATGGTGCATGCTACTATTATGTATGCATAACTACATTGTTTATCTCTCTTCTTCTAGAGGTGGCTAAGTTTGTAGTAAACTGATGCACAGGTGTCTTCAATTCGTGCAAGCAAGTCAGATGATAAAAGGCTTACCATATTCACAGGAACAAAGACTCTTCACTTGCGTTGTGTATCTAGGGATGACAGAGCTGCATGGATTGAAGCATTGCAGGCTGCTAAAGATCTTTTCCCTAGAGTGATATCAAGTAGCGATTTTCAACCTTCTGAGGACGTTGTCGTTTCAACTGAGAAGCTAAGGTTGCGGTTATTACAGGAAGGCATATCTGAGGCAGTCATCAAAGATTGTGAGTCTATTATGCTGTTGGAACTGTCTCAGATGCAAAATCAGCTCAGTGTTCTTCAACATAAACATATAGTGTTATTGGAGACCCTGAGGCAATTAGAGGTAATTTTTATTATGCATTGTTGCACAGTATTTTTTAATAGATAAATATATGAAGAAAACATTGTCTCTGCTGTTTCAACTGTCTTGTTTATGCCTTTCAACTTGATGCTTGTTGTTTACCAGTTAAGATTCTGATTTTAGACTTGATTAGAGGTGCTAGGGGTAGGGAAAAGAGAATAGGAGGAGCAAGATAGAAGAACCTTAGGAGTCACTACCCACGCCTAGTTTTCTATTAATGCATCACACCTAAAGAGGAAATAGAATTTCTGAACATCTTATTGGCTGTTAAAAAAAAGCTACCAAAACGTAAGCGGCCAAGACTCCCTCCGTGCTAGAAATAGAATTCTTATTCAAACTAGACTAGAGCTTAGAATTCCTATCCCAGTCCTAATGAGAGATATAACCCTAACAAAACTAAGAAAGCTAATAATAACCTAAAATAACATGTAAATAATTGCAATAGCATAATAAGCCTAAATACTAAAAAAATTCTTAGGTAGGTTCCTTCTTGTTCCACATCAATCATATTCCATTTTTGCTCAATATAAATGAAAAGTTTGCCATGATGTTAAATGATATTGATGAGACTGTTATCCACTCCTAAGAGCTTAGGCCCAGCATAAACCATAGCATAAGCTGTATGCTTTCTGTCTATGGCATTGATAGGCCAAAGTTGTGTTTTATGATTGCTATTTGATGTGCTACAATATCAGATTGTTTCACCTGCATGCAAATTGTGGATGCTTTTACTTTTTGTTGCATTAAATTTTTTGGACTGACATTGGAAATAATTTGGCATAAGGTGCTTCAAGAACAATAGGAAGGTGAGAAATGGACATTCAATGAGAATGTGATTAACCCGATGGTTTGTGGTTTGTAAGAATGGGGCAGAAAGGGATGTTAGGGGATGACTGACAGCCTATGGTTTGTCCTTGCTTGTAAAGTTTGGTCCATCTGATTTGACATTAATACCTAGAGTGATTTTACATTATCTCATAGGGTTTAAGGAACTTTTGAGGCTATACTTTTTGGTCTTGCATGAACTGGTCCTTAGATTGGTAATTCTGGCTTATCTCATGTCACAATCATCTTTTCTCAAGTTGTCTCCAAGCAGAAAAGTTACTCTCAGAAATAATATATATTATTTGAATTGCAGACTGAGAAAATAGAGCTGGAAACTACTGTGGTAGATGAAACCAAGGAACATGAGTCATGTCATGGACAAGGGAGAAGACTTAGTGGTTAGTTTTCCTTTTTATGCGAGAATCCCTTTTCAAATCCACATTCTTTTCCCCCCTTTTCCTTCTGAATACCATACCTAATATTTGCTTGTTGATTGTTAGACAGTTTAATCATTTGAGATGTGGAAAATTACTCTTAAAATTATTGAGGGTAAATATGATTTTAAGTCCAATGTTGCATTTTCTATGTAATCTTTATGTCATTTTTGCTAACTTGACTCCTGGAAAATTCAGCAATGTTGCAAAAAAAGTAGCCTTTTTCCTTTCAGGATGTTTCCTTGAAAGAGCAAACAAGCAACAGTTTACACTATCCAAGTTCTAGAACTCATAACTTCTCTTATCTTCCCCATATTGCAGATTTCTACTCTGTCATGTCAGAGGGCAGTGGAACTGATTCTGATGCAGATAATGAAAGTCAAGATGGTGTGGATGTTGAAACAGATGAAGACAGTGGAATATTTTTTGATACAAATGATGTTTTATCTGCAGAAGCTCTGAGAAGTGCTTCCTATCGGAGTAGGGGAGAAACTGGAAATGGCAGTATGTATGATAAAGATTCCTTTTTCTCAGATCGTTTACATGGGGTCAATAAAGAAATTCGGACTATACAATACCCATATGTAAAAAGGAGGGATAATTTGCCAGAACCAAAGGAGAAAGAGAAGCCAGTTGGGCTATGGTCAATTATTAAGGACAACATTGGGAAAGATTTGTCAGGAGTTTGTCTCCCTGTCTATTTTAACGAGCCACTCTCTTCTCTTCAGAAATGCTTTGAGGATTTGGAGCACTCATACTTGGTTGATCAAGCCTTGGAATGGGGAAAGCAGGTCAGGTCCTCATCTCTCCTCTTTTTTTTTTTTTGGTAGCAAAAGAGAACATCTCTCCTTTCTTCTATGGAAATGAATTTTAAAGTGTGTGCTCAGTTAGGATTCAATGCAAGTAGCCTAATAGTCTGTGTGCTATTAATTGGAAAACACTTGTTATTGTGCTAGTTCTGTAGATAGCACGTTACATGTTGGACCAAACAGGCACATAATTAGGTTTCATTTTGATTTTAGATATAAGAAATTTGCATTAGTTTATTTATGCTATTGGCGGTTTGACAGTATTTGTTAACATCGTGCAGGGAGATGACTTGATGAGAATTCTAAATGTTGCAGCATTTGCTGTCTCTGGCTACGCATCAACAGAAGGTCGACAGTGCAAACCCTTCAATCCTCTTCTTGGGGAGACATATGAGGCTGACTACCCTGATAAAGGACTTCATTTTTTCTCCGAAAAGGTATGTCATGTTTTAGGCGTGATGTCTATTTACTTTAACTGATTGTTGGCTGAAGTAATTATAACCTTGTATGGAAGGACAGATCAGGCTTGCATTTTGTTCCCTCTTTTTGTTTTTTTGAAATGTGCTGGTGGATAGTTTCATGACATTCTGTCTAACGAGTTGATTGAAAGCTGTTTGCATTCAGGTCAGTCACCACCCAATGATTGTTGCTTGTCATTGTGAGGGAAGAGGATGGAAATTCTGGGGGGACTCCAATCTTAAAGGCAAGTTCTGGGGACGTTCTATTCAGCTTGATCCAGTTGGTATCCTGACCCTGCAGTTTGAGGATGGAGAGACTTTTCAGTGGAGCAAAGTGACCACTTCTATATACAATATTATTCTTGGTAAAATCTATTGTGATCACTATGGTACCATGCGCATAAGGGGCAGTGGCAATTACTCTTGCAAGCTCAAGTTCAAGGAGCAGTCTATCATAGACCGAAATCCTCACCAGGTAGTTACATTAGTTCAGTGAGTGTACTGGATATATCTATTATAATGTCTTCTGGTGCATGCTTTCACACTTGCTGGCAAATGGGCAAGTTCTCTAAACTCCTTTAAGAGTTATTGACATCAATATATAGAGATTTATTCTTCTTTTGTCAAGATTATGTTCCTTGGAAAAGTTTGATACTCATTTTATTTTCTGATATGATATCAGAGTTGCCACTTGGGTCCCTTGTTCTACTGCGGTTTGCAGTGGTGTTTGAAACATTCTTCTTGCATCAAGTTGCAATGACAGACAATATCTGAGATGCTAAAGCACTGTTGTGATGTGCTTTGACTCGATAAAATAAATTATCATCTTCTGATAATTTCAGGTCCATGGATTTGTTCAAGACAATAGGACAGGAGAGAAGGTAGCTATGTTGGTGGGCAAGTGGGATGAAGCCATGTACTATGTGTTGGGAGATCCAATTACGAAGCCAAAGGGGTATGATCCAATGACAGAAGCTGTTTTGCTGTGGGAAAGAGACAAGTCTGTCACCAAGACAAGATACAATCTCACTCCGTTTGCCATATCTTTAAATGAATTGACTCATGGCTTACTGGAGAAGTTGCCGCCAACTGACTCAAGACTGAGGCCGGATCAGAGACATTTGGAAAATGGGGAGTATGAGTTGGCAAATGCTGAGAAGCTGAGATTGGAACAGTTACAGAGACAGGTATTTATATATTGTCAATTTTTTGACCGATCTTTATGTCCATTGACATTGAGAAATGCATAATCTGTATGACCTGTCTATGATAAGACTTATAGACCATACCAAAAAGAGTTTTTAGAAATTAGGCTGCATTATCCTCTCCTCTCAATCTCTTGAGTTGAAATTTGGTCAAATGTACTCAGTGCGATCCTGTGCTAAATAGCTCCAACTTAACTAGATTTCACTGAGGTATGATTAATGATCACCGTGTTCTGAGATGAATGAAGAGTTTAAATATAATGGTTATCTAAAATGCAATTTTTATTTAGACACCAGTTTCTCTCCTTTCTTACATCAGAGAAAAAATATTGAGTTTTGGCCTAATTTTTTACTCAGGCAAGGAAGTTACAGGAGAAAGGATGGCAGCCAAGATGGTTCAGTAAGGATGAGGATGGTTGTTATCGTTATGTTGGTGGATACTGGGAAGCAAGAGAAACAGGATACTGGCTTGGAATCCCTGACATCTTTGGCCGGAGTAGTGATTCACCTTTTTGTTTGGAAGAAGATTAAACTATCTATTGGCTCAGTTTGCTTGGTATATTTTCATTATCATTTCATCTGAGTCTTTCTTTTCCCATCTCAACTATGTTTTTGTGGGGACTCATGAAAGTTATCGAAAGGGCCTATTGCGTTGCAGCTAAGATTTCAGTTCTAACATGGTGTACCCATCATCAAACGCACTCATTTCACAACCACCGTACCTGACAGTCTCCTACGCTTTCGCTTTGAGAGCAGTGGGGAAGACTGTTTCAATGCATATCTTGCTTCTAATAGGTATAAAAGTTTTTGACCAGCAAAATTGGTATCTTTAAATGAAAAAATGATAAACTTTATATCTTTATTTACATCTGTTCTCAATTTTTATATATAGGTCGTCCATTTGAATCTTGACTTGTGTGGTTAATTTGTTGATTTTTTTTTTCTTATTACACTACCTTGGTCAAAATGGCTCTGTTGACGACATTGTGCTACTAAATTGTAGAATACAGCTTAACCAAGTACGTAAATAATCCATCATAGCACAATTTTGAAATTCAGATTGTTTTTTATTGTAAGTAATTTTTTTAATCTATCATCATGAAAAGTACTTTACATTGATCTGAGGTTGTTTAGTTTAGTAGACTGCTTGGAGACAAATGATAAAAGCAGTACTTATTCCTATACCATCTTTTTAATCCACTATTGCTATGAAAATCTTATTCTCGGTAGCAGAATTTGAATGAAAATAATAATAATAATAGGGATAATGAGAAAGGAAGCCAGACAATGGCATTACAGAGACTTTCTCATTTCCATGCTTTCCTCCCTGGAAACTGCTTTCCAGAACACTGCTGTTTTTTCCTCCTCTCTTGTGGAGATTTTGCTGCCTTGGCTCTCTTAGTAGCAAGAGGCATAGCCTTCTTGTGTTCCTTTTGACAATTGCTTAAACCACCAGTCTGCGCCCACAAGAAAGGAGAAACAATGTGATAGAAAATGGAGTCAGAAAATCTCTGCTAGGACGATTTAGAAACTCAAATATTTAGAGCCAATCATCTTACTTTTGAACTAGATTCTAAATACAAGTTAAATAGGGAGGAAAATTAGTGTGAAAATAGAAAATTATCAAGATTTTGGGTAGCAAAACTAGACCCAAGAGTTCAACCATTAGGCAAGATCTTTGCCATTCGGAAACAATTGAGAGAGGTGTCAAACTGTCAATGCTGACACTAATATTGGAGTGATTCTAAAATAGAAGCAGAGAAGAAGTACCTTTTTTTGTTTTATAGCGGTTCGAGCCTGGTACTTCCCCGTCCTCCCTTCCTGCTATAACTAGTGCCAGTCATTCCTCCTTGGTGAGCTTGTGTCGAACATGGGCCTATTAACAGAACATAAAGTGTGTCAAAATTTGGTTCTACGACAAACACCCCCATTTAAGTAGGAAAGAAGTGTCTTTAAAAGGAAGTATGGAAGTGACCAATGCGATCTTATGAGCAAAGCTAAAAGGTGCGTAAATCATGAAAGACGAATGTCACAAAAGACCTACTTCAAGCTTGGTAGGATCCACTCGCTTGACACTCAGTTGATCAGAACGTGGAATCTTAAACCCTTGTTGAGCTAAAGCAATCTTTTCCTCCTTTGCCTGAGAATTTAACACAAAAAAAGTTCTCCATAACAAATTCATACTTTATAATGTCCAAACTCATTTAGCTGAAGTATATCAGAAAAACTTATGTCTAGCGTTCTACAACTGTAAAGGTCACACCATATTTGATTGCCAACTTAATTAGATCTAATTCACATATCTTTAGTTCTTTGATCCTCTAGAATCCTCATTAGAAAGAATAGCATCTGTCGCGTCTGATGAAGGCTGACCCAATTTAGCTTCTGCCAACATCTTTAGAGCTCTAAGACTTGGATCAGCAGCAATAAGTTGTACATCAAAATCAGAGATTTTTCTCTTTCTTGCTGTAGACTTTGTCAATTCCTGTCCACTGTCTTCAATGGCATTGTTATTTGTTTCATGTTCCTCATCCTCTTTGACTTCCAACTCCTCTTCATCATCATCTTCACCTACTACATCACCCTCATCATCATCATCCTCACTTCTATTATCATTACCATGTAGCTGGTTTTCTTGTTTATCATCACTGGAAGCAAAATTCTCACTCTCATCATGATCATCATCAGAACTAACAGCTACAATCTCATCACCATCATTGTCCCCATCTTCAGTGTCATCTTTTTTATTATGATGTTGTAATAATAGCTCAGCACCAGGAACATTGGTAAAGACATTGGCTTCTCCATAAGCTTTTGGCCTTGCCTTTGGGTCTATTGGACGTCCTTGGTCTTCATAACCAGCAATAAAGGACAAACCTGACAATAAAACAAACAAATTGACAACTTATGCAGTGTTGCATATGAAGAATGAAATATAACACTTGCAAAAGACAAGAGGAGCATAACAAGGCATTTTCCCCCTCTAAACAATGCAATAAGTGAACGAGAAGCAGCTGAAACTGCCTTCTCCTGTGATTTCTTATATAAAGCTAGATCTTGCATTAATTCTTCTGTCAACAACTGGTAGCAAGAAAGAAATATTTAATCGTCATGAATTGCAAAGCAATACAGAAGGCAGATAAAGCACCCCTAGTATATTCGGAAGGGATGTGAAAGAGATGGATGGTTACCAAAGGCATTCGAACACATATTTCCCTGATGATATTTAGTCCAACAGCAATGACCAAGCACAAACAAGTAAAAGAAAAATAAATCACTAACTAAAACAAAGATATAAACAATTTAAAGGTGTTGTTGACTAGTACCTCTGTATGTGAACGATCATGTACAAATTAGTTGCTTAAAAAGGTCTTGAAGAACTGCTTCAGGAGGGACCTGCTTAAACAATGTTATTTGAATTGATAATCAAAAGGCAAGTCAAAACTCAAAACATCAATGATCTGTTTAGTATCATTTCTGTTTCCTCTTTTCTGGCTTCATTTTCAGAAAAATGAAAATCTCGGAAGAAAATGTGTTTACTTTGGTTGTCAGTTTGTAGTCTGAGAAAAAAGTTTTCACTACTTTCAAAAAGTGGAAAAGCCAACTGTACCATACCATGGCAGGCCTGAACTGCTGCTGCAAGTAAACTTGTTATTTCTTTTTGATGGGTCTGCAAATTTAGATACGGTCATACTCCAATTGATCAGTGAGGAAAAAATAAATAAATAAACCTTCAGTGGAGATAACATACCTGAACATATTTCTGAAGGAAATGATAAAAATCTAATAAAATCAGGCGATGGAGCCCTATTGTTCTAGCAATCACTTTCAACATCATCATTCTAACCTGAAGTCACGCCCAAAGGAGAAGAATCAACATGACCTACGCAATGACTCATAAGGAGTTAATAAATGTGTGAAATTTTGCTTTCCATTGTACAGACATTCGTCATACACTCCTTCCAGTTTTTTTACGCTTGCTCCATTAGAAATCATATGGAGAAGGTAAAAATCATGAAGCCACTAAATAAAAAGGGTTCCATTTTTTCCCTAAAAATTAAACAAAACTCAAAAACTCTACAGAATAATAAATATATAGACATTTGCATTGCTACAATAAGACAAAAGCACAAGCCCTAGGGCATAAAGAACAATCTGCAGAATACCAAGAAAGCATTCACCTCAAACCATTCACAGCAAGTTCTAAGATTGGAGAATAGCTTCTCTGCAAATACCTGCAAACAGAATGGAATATGAAAATTTTCATTGATAAACTATTCTATTAAGTTGGAATAAGAAACAGAGAACACGACAAAGTGAAAATCCACTGCATCTTTTAGATGCCTAGGAGGTGAATAATAAATAGAAGTGCTGCTTTCTGATGACATGTGTTGCTGCCTTTTCATGCTATGAATACCACGCTGTAGGTTAGCTTTCTTTTTCCTCTTGCTAGCTGTTGTACCCTCATGGTGTGCCTAAAATTCAATCAAGCACAAAATATTGAGTGTACTCATTTACAGAAAAAGGGAAAAAACTGAAAGCAAAGCAATAGAAGTTCCATATCACAGTAAGATCACCAAAAAAAAAACCCATAAATTTAACATCACACATAAATTGCAAGTCAAAACTTAGAAATTAACCCAGATACAGATCATTTTGTAATAGCGTAAAATTTGATTGCATAATATTGTGACCACAAAAGCAATCAAGTATTTTAAGCATTGCATAATTGATGGAGTTGGGATTTTTTTGCTGAACTGGCATTCACAAAATACAGAAACAGTGTAGATACGTAGTTCAAAAGAAATATAATAGATAACTGATTATAGCATAGGATGAAGTCATGCAACTAGCTTTGTAAATGGTCTCTTTGCTTGTCACAACTTGAGGTGATTGTGTCATTTCATCTTCACTACTAGAAGCGTCACTAGCATCATCATCTTCAATTTTCTCATATTCAAGGAGAAACAATAGAGCAGCAACCATTATCCTGCAAATTTAAATAAAATCTAACTAAAATACAAGAGCATAAATGGCAAATACCAATAACAGAAAAATCAGGTTTACCTTGATGATGATGGGTGCAAGCATGCATAACAAATTTCATCTGCTGTTATATCATCAAACCATACCTGTCTTCAGTGTAGCTCACATAACGTAACGTAAGTATAGATCTTTTTGCTCTTGCTTCATCCTTCTGCTACAAAGTACATAACAAAAATTCCACATTTACATTAGAAGTAACCTTAGAACAAAAATGCATTGGCAAAATATGGAAATTAAACCAAAGTTACCAGAACCTTCAACAGTTTAAACAAGACAATTTGGAGAGCTTTGTTTTTCATCTCATTCTTACACTTCTTATTCATCCTCCTGACACTATGAACCACATGCGAAAATGCCAATTTCCTCAGGTCTTTTATCACCAAGTGTCTGCAGCTCCATTTACAGTGATAGATTTTCCGCCAAATCAATTATCTACCGGAAACAAGTAATCACATCAAAACCCAGCAAAATAACCCAAATTTTCATCCAAAAAAAATTTCAGGTGATAATCAAACCTAACATAGTAACATGTTTTTTTTTTAATCAGCATCAAACCTAACATGTCAAGACATTGTCAAGACGGATTTTGTCTCTCCCCAGGACGTCAATATTTGGGAAGCACGCAGAAACAACATCTGTTTAAACAAATAATAAAATATAAATATTTATAAGATTTTAGATTTAATAATATATAACTGAATTTAAGAAAAAAAATCAAGGGGGAAAACATCTAAATTATGTTGTTTATTAAAATATTAAGAAATTGAAGAGATGTTAGCTGTTGTTGAAGTGCTAGGCCATTTTTATTAGATTTCTGATTTGATGGTAAATTACAACAAATCAGAATTTTTCTGCTGTGGGCTACCAGTGACAGAAATACAGCTGGTTGACAGATTTGGTTTTAAACTTTGGAATGCCTCTCATTACGGGAAAACTCACATATAAGGATCTGTGACCTTTGATTGAAAAAATCACTAACAGGCTGACTTCTTGGACAACTAAATACTTCACTTTTGCTGGCAAACTACAGCTTATAGCCTTTGTGATACATGACACTTCAACATTTTGGTGCTCTACTTTTATTTTGCCAAAGAAGGTTAACAAAGAAATTGAGCAAAAATGTAGTGCCTTTTTGTGGAACAATTCTACAACTAGTGCTAAGGGTGTAAAAGTTAATTGGCCAGCTATTTGACTTTCAAAACAAGAAGGAGGATTAGGCCTTAAGAGCTCAGTGTAGTGGAATAATGCCTGTATGCTTAGATTTATCTAGTTATATTATTCTCTAAAGTAGGCTCTATTTGGGTTGCATGGATTCCTTAGTATTTACTTAAGGGGAAAAGTTTCTGGGTCATTAACACCCCATCCAACTTGGGGTGGAGGAAACTACTTAGTTTCATGACGTAGGCCAGCAAATTAATTCAACATATCCCTGGAGATGATAAGGATATTCATATTTGGCACGTCAACTGGCACCCATCTGGGCCACTAATAGAAGTTTATGGACAGAGGATTGTTAGGGATGCAACTATACCACTCTATGCAAAATTGTCAATTGTGATAAGTGTAATTATTGGTGTTGGGCTCCAGCACAATCACCTCAGTTAGCACAAATTCAGATTGAACTATTTGACAAGCTATACTCTAGGGAAGGGGCAAAGGATTCTGTAATATTGATTCCTTTTGCATCTAGCAATTTCGAGACAGGGGCAACTTGGAATTGGATTAGAGAAAGGCAGGGGAAACAACAATGGCACAAACTGATTTGGTTCCTTGACACAATTCCTAAGCACAACTTTATAAGTTGGTTAGTTATTCTTAACAAACTCACCACCAAAGCTCATCAAAAGCAGTGGACACACAGTTTGGATGATACTTGTGATTTATGCAAAAATGAGTCTAACACAAATATATACTTGTTCTTTAAGTGTAGCTTTTCAAAGGGCATCTAGTAGGAGCTTAGCCGCATGACAAATATCCCTTTAATGGACTCATGGCAAGATTTATTAGCTTGATTGGGTGGGAAGGTTAGAAGGAAGTCATTACATTGCACTCTAATCAAATTATCTTGGAATGCGGTTGTCTATCATATAAGGATGGAAAGAAATAGGAGATTGCACCAAAAACAATTCAAAAGTGAGGTAGCAATACTTGCAGACATCTAGTTTGAAGTTAAGGGTAAGATCTTAGGATATGCTAAGCCAGGTTCATCTCTTATACCTAGAGCTATTGTAGGGAAGTGGGGGGCTTGATTTTGTTCTAAAATGTTAGCTAGTTTTGATCGATTTAGCTTTGATAGGATTAGTTTTTACATTGTGTTGGTGTAGCTAATAACAACTATTATTTTTGTTGTTAATAACTCAAATAATTCAGTGATAATATTTTTTCATTGAAAGTAATAAATTTTGAATTCAAGTTGTATAACATGCGGTGAGATGAGATAAGAGATGTGAGAGAATTGCTTCCAATTATATAACCAAACTTCAAAAAAAAAAAAGATTTACATTTTATCCAAAAAAATATTCAAAAAAATCAAAATAAACTCATTCTTAATTTAAAAATAGATTATTTTAATTCTTTTCAATCAAAGTTTATTGAAACAACGTAGTTTTATGATAATTTTCTTTTTTTCTTAATTTTTAGATATCTACTTGACAAATACTTTTCTCATAAAGTAATAATTTAATAATAAAAAAAGTGAAAATTAGGAGGTTTTAGTATTTTGAATGTCATAATTTTTTATAAAATTATTTAAATAGTGCTAATGAATCTTTTTCATTAAAAGTTTTTTAATTTTTTCATTATCATTTATAACATTTTAATTGCTATAATATCTTAATTTTTCTCAATCTTATATTCCTAATAATAGCCAACAAATTAAGTGGTTTAATTGTAATTTTTTCTCAATGGAGCAGGATATCCCAAGGTCAAATCATAAGCATGTGGATGTGCTCTGTCGAGTGGGTGGTAAATAGATTGGCAGAGGTATCTTCACCTTTTGCAACTCAAAATAATAAGAAATTTATTTATTATGAAATAGATTAATTGATTGAAATTTTCATGAAAAAAGAGGTGAGGAAAGAGAATGAGGCTTCGAATCTTAATCATATAAATGAGGTACTGCTTTTATACTAATAATTTAGTTAGTTACTTTAGAGGCCTTTCTTTGTATCCTTTATTTTGTTACATGTCAACTTGGAAAACAATTTTTATGTTAATAATAATAATCATTATTATTAAACTATTTAACATAAAAACACTTTTACTGAATATTTTATCATTTATTTTTATAAAAAATAATGAAATTCATTGATAGTAAATGAAGAATTTACATCAATAAAATCTCATTCATGAAAGCTATACTTACAATATAAGAGATTGCATTAGTACACTCATTTCATGCAAAAATGAGTCTAAGACAAATGTACACTTGTTCTTTAAGTGTATCTTTTCAATGGGCATCTGGTAGGAGCTTAGCCGCATGACAGAGATCCCTCTAATGGACTCATGGCAAGATTTATTAGCTTGATTGGGTAGGAAGGCTAGAAGGAAGTTGTTACATTGCACTCTAATCAAATTATCTTGGATTGAGGCTATCTATCATATAGGAATGGAAAGAAACAGAAGATTGCACCAAAAACAATTCAAAAGTGAGGTAGCAATACTTGCAGACATCCAGTTTGAAGTTAAGGGTAAGATCTTAGGATTTGTTAAGCCAGGTTCATCTCTTACACCTAGAGCTATTGCATGGAAATGGGGGGCTTGATTTTGTTGTAAAATGTTAGCTAGTTTTGATTGATTTAGCTTTGATAGGATTAGCTTTTACATTATGTTTGTGTTGCTAGTAGCAACTGTTATTTTTGTTGTTAATAAACTAAATAATTTAGTAGTAATCTCATTTTATTAGAAGTAAGAGATCTTAAACTCAAGTTGCATAACATATAGGTATGGTGAGATAAGAGATGCAAGAAAGTTGTGTCCATTATGTAACCAAGATTTAAAATAAATAAATAAAATTATTTTTCTCAAAAAGGTATTTAGAAAGAAAATCAAAATAAACTCATTCTTAATTAAAAATAGATTATTTTAATTTTTTCAATTGGAGTTTATTAAATTGACTTAATTTTATAATAAATTTTTTTCTTCTTAATTTGTAGATATTTAGTTGACAAATACTTTTCTCATAAGGTAATAATATAATAATAAAG